GCACGTGCAGGATGCCTGATTCGTCCATGCACTCCTCCTCAGCCGCGGGGTTTGGGCCGAGAGTGCGGTCGGTCTACCTCGGGGCGCCGGCGACTGCGTGCGACAGCATCACCCACCCGACGGACTCGGCCCAGGAGGGCATCGAGAGAGCGGTGCCGAGCACCCACCCAAAGTAGACTGCGATGCCGGCGAGCTCCGTCTTGCGGAAGTGCGTCTTGTCGGGCTGCGTGAGGAGGTAGATCAGCCCCTGTGCGTACAGGTTCCACCGCCCGAGCGCCATCAGCGGGTAGAAGAAGAGGTGCTGGTGCGAGACGAGCCAGTGCGCCGCATCGTCCATGCCGACCCACCTACAACCCCCGCCCAGTCTCGCGTCATCTCGGGCCATCTCCGAGCGGCGCGTCGACCGCCCCGACCCACTTTCGGTGGTAGGTGTCCCAGAAGCGCGGCCGGCGGAAGACCTTGTCGGTGATGGCGAGCATCGGCATGTGCTGGATGTTCGGGTCGTGCTCGACGGCGTTGCAGACGACGTGGTGCGTGTTGTGGTCCGACTTCCACCAGCCAACCTAGGGGAGGTGTGCCGCTCGCCGGTGAGGTGGTGACTGTGGTGGCGTGCTGTGGTCTCGCTGTTGCGGCAGCCGACCGACAGGCCCATGAAGGCGGAGAGGAGGGAGCCGACGAGGTGGTCCCGGCGGAAAGAGTGCGTCACCTGCAGGTGTTGCGAGGGAGGTGTTGCGAGGGAGGTGTGCAAGGGAGGTGTGCGGCGGAGGTGTGCAAGGGAGGTGTGCGGCGGAGGTGTGCAAGGGAGGTGTGCGAGGGAGGTGTGCGAGGGAGTGGTCGTGTGGCCGAGGCCTCTGGAGAGTCTGGGAGGTGTCTGGGAGTAGCAGCAGATGCCTAGGAGGTGTCTAGGTGTCTGGGAGGTGTCTGGGAGGTGTCTGGGAGGTGTGTGGGAGGTGTGTGGGAGGTGTGAAGGAGGTGTGAAGGAGGTGTGTCTGGGAGGTGTGGAGGAGGTGTGAAGGAGGTGTCTAGGGAGGAGGCACTCCGCTGTGGCCGAGGTCGTGCCCGATGCCCGCGAGCTGCTGCCAGAAGACACCCATCAGCGCCGCGCCGAGCATGTGCGCGCCGCACGAGTCGCAGCCGAGAGAGAGGTACCTGAAGAACAGGAAGTCCTCGGCTCAAGAGAAGGGAAGGCGCGGCGCGCCGCAGCCGAGCGAAGGGGCACATCGCGCAGAGCCAGAGCGTGCAGTGCCAGGCGAGCATCTTGAGGTAGAAGCGCGAGTCCGTCTCGAAGAGCCCGCGCCGCAGCAGCTCCTGCCGGATGCGGCGGAAGTCGGCGACGTGCGGCGCGACGACGATCTCGCCTGCGAGGGGAGCTCGGACAAGGGTCGGGGAAGGCGCGGAGGAAGGCGCGGAGGAAGGCGCGGAGGAAGGCGCGGAGGGAGGCATCTCTCTCGGCTGGATCTCGGCTGGATCTCGGCTGGATCTCGGCCCCCTCTCTCTCGCCTGCCGCCATCGTGCCGATCAGGTACGCGGGCAGCATCCTGTCGTAGACGCGCGCGGCGTGGTAGTTCGCGAACACGTCGGTGCAGTCCTTGCCCGCGAGGTTAAGGATAGGGCCGACTCCGCCGGGGTGCGCGTCGATGAAGCGAGACACATCGTACACTCGCTCGTCCACGACGATCCACGCGTCGCCGCGGGAGCAGTGCTTCCCGACCTCGGCCAGCGTGTACTCGCGCAAGGTCGGCTG